CACACCACTGTTTTTCTTGGGTCAGGGGAGGGGAGGGGTCAAACATTTCTAAGGAATGGGATGCACTTCCCTCCTAGGGAAAGCAAATAGACCTTCCAAGCACCTCAGTGAAACTGTTTATGGTAACAGACAAACAAATCTTCCCCTAACCCTGAGGATAAACAGAGAGACTAATCTGTTTTCCTCCTGTAGATTTCTAGGTGGGAATGTTGACACTTGACTTGATCCTCTTTAAATAAACAAACATCCCAACAACTGAAATCCAGATCCGACCTACTCCTTGCTTCTCCTAACAGCCTGAGACATCACAAACACGAAGGGCCAAAGGGCCGCTGTCTCTGGTCCTCACATTTTCCCCAACACTGTCCCTTTAGAGTCAACTGCTGTATTCTCATGGAACATTTAGGAATTGTGATTTGTGGTCTTACCTTCAACTCTTGTCTATTCATGTTCATTCTGGTCCATGAAGGTGATAATTCACACAGGCAATGGAATGTATGACTCCATTGTCCTTGGCTTTGGGGCTTTGTCACATTTAAGGAATTTCTGACTTCCTGGGCCCTTGTGATTGGTTGCTAGATGCAAGCTACTCCCTAAGTGCAAAGACATCATCTGGGATCCAAGGTGTTTGTTGCAGCAATGGGCTATGAAAGAAGTGTAGGAAGTAAGTGTTTCTTCCATTTTCTTTTTCCTTTTAAATTCTCCTCTCACATATTGCATCCAGACTGCAGTTTTCCTCCCTTCCCCCTCAGAAAAGAAGATACCTCCCACAGACAACAACCAAACATTACTGTAGCTAGCAAGCTATAATAAGACCAGGGACATATTCACACATTAAGGCTGGATGAGGTAACCCAGTAGGAGAAGGGTCCTACAAGCAGGCAAAAGAGTCAGAGCCACCCCCCAACACTTTCTCTCTCTCTCTCTCTCTCTCTCTCTCTCTCTCTCTCTCTCTCTTCCACTGTTAGAAATCCTACAAGAACACTAAGCAACTCAACCATAACATAGCCTATATACAGAGGACCTAGTCAGACCCCTAAAGGTTCCCCAATCTCTTTGAACTCCCATGAGTCCAGGTTAGTTGATTTTGTGGGTTGTGTTTTTGTAGCATCCCTGACCACTCTGATTCCTCTAATCCTTTTTCCTCCTCTACAGAACTCCCCAAGCTCTACCTAATGTTTGGCTGTGGGTTTCTGCATCCACTCCTCTCAGTGGTTGGATTAAGTCTTTCTGATGATGATTACGCTAGGTTTTGGTCCCAGAACAACTTGCAGGCAGAAAAAACTGTAGGTCAATTTGTGTGTGTGTATGTGTGTGTGTGTGTGTGTGTGTGTGTGTGTATGTATGTATGTATGGCTGGGTTGATACCCCAATCCCTACACTGGAGGCCTTGCCTGGTTACAGAAGATGACCTGCTCAAGCCCCACTTCCCTCATTACTAGGAGTTTTTACTAGGCTTACTCTCATAGTTTCCTATGGATGGAACTTGAAAAAACTTATCCTGAGTGAGGTAACTGAAACCCAGAAAGACAAACACAGTATGTACTCACTTATAAGCAGATATTAGCTATAAAGTGAAGGATGATCATAGTACAATCCACATACTCAGAGGGACTACATAGGATTTTTTTCTTTTGTCTCACAAGGCACTCTTTCAAATATTGGGGATCAGAAGATGATACTTCCATGTATGGGGCATGGGCAATGGAAAAACACAAAAGTCAACTTATGCCAATAATTGACAAATGGAATTATGTGAAGTTAAAAAGCTTTTGCGTAGCAAGAGAAACAGTCACCAGGGTGAAATGGCACCCCATAGAATGGGGAAAACATCTTTGCCAGACAGAGCATTAATGCCCAGGATATATAAAAATTGAATTCCCCTGAAATCCAAATCAATAAATGGGCTAACGGGCTAATGGGTATAGTAGACAGTCATCCAAAGAAGAAATACAAATACCAAATAAAGGCCTGGAAGTGTTTTGTATTTTTCTGGGACTCCTACCTGTGAGAATGAGTGGGTCTCTGATTCTTGCACCTACTTTTGGGACTCTTTACCTTCTGTTGGATTGCCATGTCCAACTTCAATAAGATAGTTTTGTCTTCATCTTATTATATTTTATTTTGCTATGGTTGTTATCTCTTAGAAGCCTGTTCTTATCTTTTGAGAAACAGAAAAGGGGTAGATTCAGAGCAGAAGGCATGGTGGAAAAGAACTGGGAAGAGTGGAGAGAAGGTAAACTATAATCAGGACATATTCTATGATAAAATAATCTATTTTCAATAAAATAAAAATGTAAAAATATAAGCACTCATCCAGAGAAAAAGAAATCATAGTAAGAACATAAATCCTATCAAGAAAAAGGACTTGCTATTTGGGTAGAGCTATAGGGAAGGGGTGACATGCAGGCACAGACCTAGAAGCCTTGATGGAGACATGCAAATCTTCTAGGAAAGAAGAACAGTAAGCTCTGAATGTTTTATAGCCATAAGGTCTTGAGTTTGTACAAAATGCATGGAGTCCCAATTTTTCAGGACATTAAACAATGTGAGTGGCAAGTAGAAATATGGGAGTAATATTAATATAGTTTTGCACATCATTTTAAATTTTTTCTTTTGCTCTGAATAAGATGTGAAGAAAATGGAGAGTTTTAGGCAGGCAAGAGATATGAACTGATTTCTTTTTATTGTATATATTTTATTTTAGGTACTTGATAAGTTGGCTACTTTTCATAGTGAAGGCTCAGAGAGTCAAATCCTCTTTTCATTAAGGTAATTGTTGAGCGATAAGGATTGCCATCTCTCCAAAAGTTTACTCAGAACTAAAATTAGGAGGATTAGCTCTATCAAATCATTGCCCTCTATTCCTTCCAATCCATGTGCTGTCAAAGAAAGCCTAAGGTAGAAAGTGCCTTTTTCTCAAAGCCAAGGAGACAAAAATAATTTAGAAAAAAAATAGAAGAGGCTGAACTATAACTTAGTAGTATAATACTCACCTATCATGAGTGAAGCCTGGGTTCAAGTCCAGGTTAAAAAAAAGAAAAGACTTAGAAGTTCCTCTTAATTCACTATTTGGTCTCTGAGCATGGATTGTTATTCAGACTAGATATTCAGAAGAGATGCTAGGGTATGTATGTCCAGTGCTGAGAAAAAAATAACTTGAGAAGAAGAAAGATGTATCTGGGTTCATGGTTTCTGAGAGGCCAGTACACCTTGGGGGTAGGGGGCAGCTTGAAAGAGAAGCTTAAAGCATGGTGGACAGGAGCAAAAAGAGTAAGAAAAGTCCTCCTCTCCTTCCTTCTGATCTTAGTCTATCAGATCTCATCAGGAGTAGCTACATTCTCATCTTCTGTGGCTTAGTAAGGCTGCTCCCCCATCAGGGGGAGGTGATCAAAGAGCAGGCCAATCAGATTATAAAATCAGAAGGAAGGAGAAGAGGACCTCCCCTATCAGTGGACTTGAGGAGGGGCATGTGTGAAGAAGGGGGAGGGAGGATGGGATCAGGAGGGGAGGTGGGAGGGGATTATGGGGGAATACAAAGGGAATAAAGTGTAATTAAAAAAAAAAAGAGTAAGAAAGGATCAAGAACAAGCTACTCCCCAAAACCCACCCCCAGTGACCTACTTCCTTCAGGTCAATCTAACTTCCTAAATTTTCTAGAACTTCCCAGAAATAAAGAGATAGTTCTGTGAAGGACAGATGCATAAGGCAATGTTGCCTGAAAGTTGATGTTTTTCGAAAGTTACAGAAATTTGATTCTAAGAATGCCTGCAGGCTCAAGTTTAACAATGGAAGGCAAAGGAGCTTTAACCCTTTATATGAAGATGTAGTTAAACATCCAGAGCCTCTAAACAGGTTTGTCTAAGCTAGGTGTGGTGGCTCACACCTTTAATCTCAGCACTTGGAAGGTAGATGCTGGTGTTGCTCTATGAGTTCGAGGCCACCCTGGTCTACAAAGTGAGTTCCAGAACATCCAGGGTTCAGTTACACTGAGAAACCCAGTCACAAAGAAAGAAAAGAAGGAAAAGAAAGAAAGGAAGAAAGAAAGGAAGAAAGAAAGAAAGAAAGAAAGAAAGAAAGAAAGAAAGGAAGGAAGAAAGGAAGAAAGAAAGAAAACATGGTTTCAATCTTCAATCTCCATGCATCACCAAAGCAGTAAAATTTCTCTGTTGCCACACTCACATGGATGGTCATAATGTGACTTCTTGGACAAATGTTTTTTTTTTCTTTTTTTAAATCAATCATGTATGTAATATGCAAAATGATGACTTCAAAATGAGAAGATAAAAAAACAGAAAACAGCTAATACCTACCAAGTCCTTGATTCAATTTAATGGTCTGATTTTACATGGCATGAAATTGAGAAAGGGTATGTGACCTTCACAAGGTTACATAGCTAGTTGGTGGTAATGCTAAATATAGAGCAGACTTCATTTGCTCATTTCACTCCAGGCTCTTACAAAGCTGATCACATAGGCAGACAGCAGACCCCTCATGTGACAGGAAGATGTGGGCATATTTATGCTCATAGCTTCTTGTATCATTTCCAAAAATAAATGGTTGCACATGGAGAAAACAGAGAGCCATGAACCAGAGCTCCTGAGAATGCAGTCCATGATATTAGGATGATAATTTATAATGCTACTGCAATTACAGTAGAATTATAGAACATTCAGTGCCTAATAGAGCTGTGTGCATACTCTTGAGAAAGATGAATGTGCTGGCATCTTCGGCTGCAAAAATGAGATTAAATGGCCCCCATCTCTGATCCTGTCATTGATTTTTGTAGCCCTCCCATTAACGTGATACCTCACACACCATTCCTCTTATCATCCATGGGAGGTGGAGACATACTTTTAGAATGTAAATAATTAGACCCTCAAAATCCAAGGCAACAAATCTTTCACACCATCTATTGCCATGAAACTGAACACATTAATCAAAGCTTCTTTTGAAGGAATATTCGTGACCAGGAAGACATATTTACAGAATAAACCTACCTTATGTTCTCATTCTCCACTTTCTTCATCTGGCTTCCTTATGGGTCTGAATCAGTTAAGATGTAGTAACTACTCAAATCATGGCATTTTAGAGAAGGGGAGAGGTGCACAGATATCCTAAAAAAAAAACAGACCAAACATCAGCAATTCTTCCGTATCTATAACTTTCAACAATTTCCCTTGAGGCCTGATAGTATGTTTTTCAAATTATTTTACTCTGTTTCTTTTCCTGATTCCTAATCATAAATTTGGTTAACATCAAATAGAAAATATCATGCTGAAGGTTGAAATTTCCTCCACCAAATTAGCTGACCAATTACTTTTAAATCCAGCCTCAGATTTTCAGTATACAACACACACACACACACACACACACACACACACACACATGTTTCAGTACTCAATGAAATATAGATAAAACCTTTGCCAACATATAACGTGCATGGCCTCTAGTCCAACTCCTAAAAAGAGTCTGCATTCACATTAAAATATAACAAGCCCAGCTTCATTTTCCTCATTTCTTTTGGCCTTCTGGCCCTCTGAGATCCAACCAGAATCTTCTATTAGAGTTTGACTATAGAATTATAAGTGTATGCTATCCTGCTTCTCCAAACACTTACAAAATACCCCCATAAGTCAGTTATAATGTCTTAGGCTAAACTTCTATTTCCTATATTGTGTCATATAATTGGTTAGATAACTCACAACATTGTTCAATCTCTAATATCAGTTTAATGTGTCAATTGATTTTAATAACTGTGACCTAAAACTTATGAGTCTTAAAAATTGAACTCATGGTGTCGGAAGGTTCCTCTCATGGGTGCTTGGCACTATGCACTCAGAAAAACATGACAGCTGAAGGATATGTAGAAAGAGACTGTGGACTTTATGATGATCAGGAAGAAGAGAGGGTGACTGACAGGAGCCAAAAACAAGATCCAGCCCCAAATGACATGCTCCTGTGACCTACTTCCTCTATATGTTCTAGCTCTAGTTCTTTCCTCCTAAAACTTGTAGAACTTCACAAGATAGTGTCACCAGGTAGGAATCGGTTATCCAGCAGAGGAAACTGTGGAGGGCATGTCCTGTCCAAGCCACAACAATAGCTTACATTATGGTCTGTTATTACTTTAGCAATGATTAAAAACATTGGATTATACTTTTAAATTTGAGAACTGATCAATCATTATTGGCCTCTGTCCTCAATAATTACGAGGCACTCATACAAAGTAGACATCCAAAGAGGTGAGTTATTATTGTTGTAAATGAGCCCTTTCTGTACATGTATAATGCATTGACTCTGTTCATGGTACAACATAGCTATTCTCCCTGTTCTTCAGGTGAGAAAACTGATCTAGGAAAGAATAACCACCCTTCCAGAGGCCATAATAGTTTTAGACGTTGAAAGGTTTATATACACTCTCTGTCTTCGTTTATCTTTGACTTACATAGCTATTCATTTTCATGTTTTGAGAATCTTTAAATATTTTAGTGTATGCCTCTTTGCTATTTGCTTACAAGCTTGCCTCATTTCATAGATATTTGGAGTAGCTTATAAAAATGTATGTCTTTAAAATATACAGTAAGAATTTAGGGAAAAGGTAAGCGTGGGAAAATAGTGATATTCAGAGTATAAACAAGCTTTTACTGAACATATTCAATATAATTGACACCATATAGGAATTGGAAGTTTAGAAGTACAATTAACAAGATCCATCATCTTCATAATTGTAGATGCAAATAGAGAAAATTAATATGAAAACCATTATAGGAATGTAGGGACGTTGGAAGCACTGTGAAACGTCCAGTTATAGATTACCTCGAAGGTGCACACCATCACATTTGAACCATGGTCTTCACTGTGTGGTATTTACTGGCTCATGTGTTCCCTGTCCATACCTCTAGACCTTTTACAAAATCAAAGGTTTGCTATGCTGGTAGTATCCCCTTTTCCTGGAACACTACCCGCACCATTTGAAGTCACCAACGAGGAGTGAATGAACAAAGTTCCGTTAGGTCAAGAAGTGCCCATGCAGACTTTCAGATCTGCTGTATGTTACAGTGGAGCAGTATATAGAGATGTTGCCAAAGTTCAGTTAGCTCTGTAGTGCATCACTAAGAAATTGTAGAAACAACAACATTCTGTACCCCTCTGTTATGGCTGTGACATACATAGGTAGTTAAATAAGCGAACATTGAGACAGAGGTGGGAGTTTAGAACCTTCTTAACCAGGGAATTGAGAATCTCAATACACAGAAAAGAAGGATAGCCTATCAGTAAAATAAGAGTGGTTGTTTGAGAAGCAGTGTGACTATGATCTGACAAAAAAGAACCAAGACATTTAAACATATCTCCCTCTAGCTATATCTCTACACATTGCTTCACCATAACATACTACAGATCTGAAAGGCTGCATGGGCACCGAAGAAACACTTGGAGAAATAGAAACAAAGAGGACACAAAGGAAGGACAAAAGTGGAAAGTCGGAATATAAATATTTATCGATTCACTTAAAAATAGATTCCAGCTACAGAGAAAAATTGCTGTGCATTAATCAATGCAGCATCAAAATGCATTGAGTCAACCTGATAGCCTCAGCCTTTTGAAAATTAACTTGATTTAGCTCTCCTATTCCACATTTTCTGATAAAGAAATCTTGCCATGGGTCTGGGAAATTGGCATGAAACAGAAAAAAGAATCTTGGCAAAGCTTCAGAATTCCATATTCTAAACCTATCTCTGTCAGTCATAACAGAGAGGTGACAGTGAATCAAGTCAGGTGAAGAATTTGGAACCTTGATTATGCCTGAGGTTCTTTCTGTGTCTGTAGGCATTTCCAGGGCTCTGAAAAGAGACAAGAAGACCTGGTTATGGTCTCAACTTTGTGTATTATTTTTGGTTCAACTTATTTGTCTCTCGCTTCTAGTTCATGTTGAAATAAATTGTTGAATATCTTTTTTTTTTAATTTTTGGTTTTGAGGGCTCTCTTATTTGCTTCAAGGCAGAGTCACTTTCTGCTTTCAATGACTCATAGCTCCCATGTAGATTAACAAAAGTCAGACACATCTAAATATTCTCTAACTACCAAGTACAATGATGACATGTTCTATTGATTTTTACATTTTTTTTTATTGACCATGTTTGTAACAGCTTCATTCATAATAGCCATAATCTAGAAACAACCCAGGTGGCCCTCAACTGAGGAATGGATACAGACATTGTGGTACATTTACACATGGAATATGACTCAGCAATTAAAAACAAGGATATCATGAAATTTACAGGCAAGTGGTGGGAACTAGAAAAGTTCATCCTGAGTGAGGTATCCCCGAGGCAGAAAGATAGACATGATATATGTCACTTTTAAGTGGATATTAGACATTTAACATAGGATAAATATTCTAAAATCTGTACACCTAAGCAAGAAGGAAGACCCTGGGTAAGATGCTCAATCCTCACTCAGAAAGGCAAATTGGACAATCATCAGAAGAGGGAGAAAACAGGGAGCAGGACAGGAGTCTACTAAAGAGGACCTTTGAAAGACTCTACCCAGCAGTGTATGAAAGCAGATGCTGAGACTCAGAGCCAAAGTTTAGGCAGAGTGCAGGGAATCTTATGAAAGAAGGGGGAGATAGACAGACCTGGAAGGGACAGGAGCTCCACAGGAGCTCCACAAGGAGAGTAACAGAACCAAAAAATCTGGGCAAAGGGGTCTTTTCTGAGAATGGTATTCCAACCAAGGAACATTCATGGAGATAACCTAGAACCCCTGCAGAGATGTAGCCCATGGCAGTTCAGACTCCAAATGGGCTCTCAAGTAATGGGAACAGGGACTGTCTCCGACATGAACTCAGTGGTTGGTTCTTTGATCACCTCCCCCTGAGTGGGGAGCAGCCTTACCAGGCTGCAGAGGAAGACAATGCAGCCATCCTGAGGAGACCTGATGGGCTAGGGTCAGAGGGAAGGGGAGGAGGACCAACCCTATCAGTGGACTTGGGGAGGGGGATGGGAGGAGATGAAGAAGGGAGGATGGATTGAGAGAGGATGAGGGAGGGAGCTACAGCTGGAATACGAATTAAAAAACTGTAATTAATTAAAAAAATAATTTTTTTAAAAAAGAAAATTTCATATGTGCATGTAATATGTTGTTATTTTCGCAAAGACCTGCCAGGGTATTTTCTAGAGAGGTTAAACATTATCCCTAGGCAAAGAGTTTAAGGAGAGGTAAGAGGGAAAGGAATATTTTTGAAAATACTCTGTAAAGTACTCTTCCATTGGTTAAGAATAAAACAAGGTGAAATTAATGTGAAAAGATAACAAAGCAGACTGCCTGCTCTCCTATTGTTGAGAGGTTAGAGCACAGATCCAGGTGACAAGAAGCAATATATAGTACCAAAGAATATACAGAAGTGGGGTTACAGTTTCCTCATTTGCAATGAAAAATGACATGGTAAGGGGTTTGAGGTGGGATGTCATCTCAAAAGTGTAAGATGGATTCATCCTTAGAAAGTTTGTGAAGCTATGACTTGAGACACCTAGCCTGGGAACTACCTGAACAATTTCACTGCTCTTAATCTTTTAATAGAGACAGTCTGCATGGTCCCAGCTGGTACGTGCGTTCTCTCTCATGTTTATTCAGATTACAAAACAACCTTTTAATGACATGTCAGACTGGGTGTAGATATAATCAATATATACATATATGGAATTGTCACAGAATAAATAAAATATTCTTTAAAACATAAAAAGATGCCTGAAATCTGGACTGTGCTGTAAAATCTCATTATATATAAATGATAATGACTAGATCTTTTAAAAATCCCCTACAAGAGTAAAAAATATCAGATTTTATCTAAATATTTAGCAGCATTTAATCTCTGAATGAGGTAATCTTCATTTTTCTCTCTCTACAATAGCATTCAGAGACACACATAGGAGATACGCTTTGGCTTAGAAGTCCTGCCTGAAAATACATCTGTAGGTCATAAAGCAACACTGGGTAGCAATCATCAAAGCAGTTAACGTTAACGTTCTTTACATATGTAACAACTACTCACAAATCACTTGGGTATCCATCTTGTAATTCTCTGCTAAGCTAAATTTTATGGAAACTGAAG